AGAGAGAGAGAGACAGAGACAGAGACAGAGACAGAGAAAGAGAGAGCCTTTTGTGAGAATGGAGGCAAGGTTGTATTCTGAGCAGTAATTGGGAATGGGTTCCTTTTAAAAGAACATTTGCAACAGAGACTATGAAGCACTGGAAGAACTGCGGGCCAAAAGCTGGCCAAGGCTGAGGATGGAGTGGTTTATTCCTCAGGTTTACACTTTAAACACTGAATTAATGGTAGGAAGCTTCGTGTGCTGCATAATGATACGTTCGTCTTGCTCATCATGTCAACACAAGCATTTTTTTCTGTCAAAGTAGATTTTGAATTTAAACTTCTTCATATAAACTTTTTTTTTAAACAAAGGTTTAGGTTGCAAATACATCTATCAAAAGAATGGTGACCCTTTACATATAAAGGAGCTCCTGGAGAATTTCAAGAAGGATGCAAGAAGTTTTAAATTGAGGGCTGGCAAGCATCAGCTTGAAGACGTGACGGCTGTGCTGAAGAGTTTTCTCTCTGACATCGACGATGCGCTTCTTACTAAGGAGCTCTATCCATACTGGGTCTCTGCCTTAGGTAATGTGCATAATGTAGGACAGGATTGTTACTTGCTTTCTGATTTGATAAGTAAAATGTTAAACCTTTGAAAATTTGAAATTATCATGATTTTTTTTTTTTTGTCATCCTACATTTTTGGTATGTGTAACAGGTTTTTTTGTTCTTTTACTCTTCATTGTCCCTAGATTCCATCTAATGGAGAAAATTTGAGACATGACTCTGGAAAAGTAGTTAGTAAATCATTGTTTGGGTCATGTTAAATGTATGAAAACGTATGTGCATTAATTTTAAATAGCTGATATTGTAATATGAAGCATTATAGCTTTCAAGAGTTGGCATCTTTCAGCTATGTTTGAAAATTGTAATTTAAGCAACTGAGAAGACAGAGTTGGCTAAATTTTGTATTTGTTCTTGCAGTATTTTCTTGATAATTTCTGGATTGACACATTGATGTTTTGTTCCTTCTGTATTTATAAATGAAACACCTTTTATTAGTTTTTCTAAACGTAAAATCTACTTGGTTTGAGATCAAGTAGTTGGAACAGTGACTTTTAATTTTAACATTGTGGATTGAATGTTTAGTAAAGAAATATTCAGTCAGCTTGATGAGTTTGATTCCTAGTGCTTTCACTTGCTGTGTTGCGAGAACCAGTGCACAAGGTAGGTTTTCTTCTTGAACATTTTCTCAATAGTTTCAGTGAAATTTATTGGCTTGTGGTTTGATTCCTTTTTTCCTGCAAAATATTTAAGGATTCTGATACTAAACTTGAACAGATTTGTCCTGGAATGGATATAGAATGAAAGATGTATATTAAATAGTAATCTATCCTACTGTGGCAGAGAGAGGAGGAAAAAATTTGGTGCCATAATTTTTTCCTTCATTGGTGTTGGATTAAATCATCTGAAATGTGTTTCTGTACCCCAGTTTAAGCTTCAATAAACATTTAATTAATAAAATTTTTAAAATGTAAGCAGTGGCTTTAATCTCTACTAAAAGTGTTTTCACTTTTCTGTATTATAATCTTTTGTGACTTATATACATAAAGTTTTAATTTTTGTTAAGAATCTATAAACATTTCATACATACCTAGATCTTTTTCCCACCTCTTTTAATTTATTTTTTTATTTTAAAAGAATACAAAATAGTAATAAAAATAGCATTAGAAATGATGCAAGGGCCAGCCAGATAGCTCAGCAGATTAAAGAGCCTGCTTAGGCAGATGCTCGATCTGATGTGAGAATTTTCAGACTTTTAATTTAAAATTGAGCTTTAATTTTTACCTAAATTATGTCAGTTGCTCATAATTTAATCTATTTTAAGGTGATTTTGAAAAATGGCCTTTGACTTTAGTTCTGTTATTCCTTTATTGGAAAAATAGTTTGTTTTTTTTTTTTTTCCACTACAAATATATGCTCATTTTAAGTATATCTGAAAGTAATAATTTTGAAATCCTATCACAGAATAGCTACAATTTGAAAATTATTTCTAGACTGACCTTTATTAGTATCAGTACTACAAGAGTAGTGTGATGAAAAGTTTTTATAGTTGAACTCCCTAATTGTGAAGACCATCTTTTAGTTGCTTCCAAATACTTTTCAATCAATAAGATTATTGTCATCCTATTGGTATACTCAAAAACTTAGATATACAACTACTTTCTCTTTAATTCAGTGAATAGAGAGTTTTGTTCTAATAGTGTTTTGAGACAGGATGTCAGGTCTGCATCTTGTACAATGTATAACCAGTAAGACAACAATATGCAATGTATTAATTATTGAACATGTGCTAGTAATTGGTTGTGAAACTGCCTCATTGCTATTTGTTACTCAATAAAAATAGTAAAAACAACAAAAAAGAAACAAAAACAAATTTTGATAGAGGGTCGGCCAAATAGCTTAGTGGACTAAAGCACCTGCTTAGGCAGCGCGCAGCTGCAGGCTCTATCTCCGGCGTGCCATGCCAGCCCTGCCCCTGAGGCGTGCTAACATGGTGATTGAGGCTGGGCACATAAGCCACACCTGCTTCATAATTGAATAAAACCTGTGTTTGGCCCAGGGTTGAGGTCTTTATTCCAGATAACCATGACCATGGCTGGACCTTTTGGCTCCCCATAACTATAAATACGCTTTAGTATCCTTACTCTTGCTGTGGTTTGCACTGGTAGTGGTAGATTGAAATTAATTTGATAGGATTCCAATAACTTATCCGTAGGATTACAAATATAAACTTCCCATACTCAGAGTAGGACCAGAAAGGGCTCCCTATAGGACAAGATCATCATTTCATAAAGAAAGAAGATTAGAAATGTCATTTTCAAATCTTGGTAGGCAGAGCTAAAATGTTTTTGCCTTAGCTTTCCAGTTTGTGCTCCAACTTGAGTAATTAATTGAGTGTATTCGTTATTAAGTTAGTTTCATAGGCTATAAAGTAGAAGATAAACCCTTCCATTAAATTTCTAAATTGCTTAATTTTTAAAATTATAAAGTAAAAGAACTTTAGTGTATAGCCATGGAATATTTATATAAATAAACTCTTTTCCAGAATTATAGGCAATTATTTTTCCATTCTACTGAAAGCCTGTCACTTATAGTACTTGTAACTTATTTTTAAATTCTTTAGAAAGGCAGCTTTATTATATAAATGATAAGTTCAAGTCTAAAATTTTTTCTCCCTCCAGATACACAAGATGAGAAGGAAAGGATTAAGAAGTATGGAGCATTTATACGTAGTCTTCCAGGGGTCAACCGAGCAACCCTGGCAGCTCTAATTGAACACCTTTACAGGTAGGTGGATCCCTGGACTTTTCTAGACATTTCAAGCATGGCACTTACTAAGTCATTATTTCTTCTTACAGTTGTGTAGCTGTCTTCTACATGTGACTGTGACTCTTTCACCGTAGTAAGAACCTATTGCTTTAGTCTTTTCTGTGACTAAAGTCACATGATTAAATGGCACTGGAAGATTTAAGTGAATCAGAAATAGTCTAAAAATCTCCAAATGCACTGAAAGTATAAGCAAGAATTTTAAAACTCATCTGGGTAGGAGTTAAAGAAAGAAGGGGTAATTTTTCACTGTGTTATACAGATAATAGTCTCTAGTCTGTGTCTGTCTGTGGAATGTAAGGCACATTTTAATATAGAGAATTTTAAAGCATGTAGTTTCTAATTATAGAGTAAGTGAATGATTTATTGTGTGCTGAGCTGTCAGGGTTCCCTGACAGGAATCTGTTTTTGAGGAGTGATTTCTTTTGGTATGTTCAGTATAAGCTTTCATTTTTTTCATTGTCAGTTATATCTTACTTGACCTCTGATATTTGATATCAGACTTATCAGTTGAAATATTTAAAATTCAAAGCATTTTGTATGTCAGGGCATGAAGATCACTCTGCATATGGAAGGAGATAAATAAAATGGTAAACTGAGAGATTTGGAGGATGAGGGTATTTAAAAGCAAACTTTTAAGTTAAAAGTAAAGATTAGTTTGTACGTATCTTAGCAAGAATTATTATAAAGACTTTTATAAGTTTTGCTTAAGGGAATACATTTTAGCTCCCTGTGTGAATAAAATATCTCCTTGAATAAATTTCTATAAAGCTGAAGACTACTAAAAATACCTTCCTTGGAATCTAGATTAAAGTCTTTCACAACATGTCATCTTTTCTGCATCTTTTTCAACCACTAGTTTTCATGCAGCATTGTAAACTCTTATTATTGTGAAACTGATTTTCTGTCTTTCCCCCCCTTCGTGCCAGGGACTATGCTAAGTAGATGCCCTACTGCCAAGCTATGTTTCCAGCAAAACTGATTTTCTTATTGCATCATACAAATATAGTCTATGAGATGCTGGGTAAATTTTAATACAGATAATTTTAATATGAAGCATGTAATTATAGAGGAGAGAATCAGTGATTCACTGTGGCTTGAATTCCAGAAAATGTTTATATACTTCAAATTCAAAAAGAAATGCCAGCTGGGTATGGGGAAAAAGTAAAAGTGGAAAGCCAGACACAATGGTACAGTTGTAGTCTCAGCTACTTGGAAGGCTGCATCAGAAGGAACGCTTACTTGAACTAGAAGTCCAAGGCCTGCCTGTAGAAAGATCTTTCTTTTTGTCTCTCTCTGTCTCTGTCTCTCTCTGCCTCTCTGTCTCTGTATCTGTCTCTCTCTGTCTCCCTCCCTCCCTCCCTTTTTCCCCACCCTCTCACCTCCCTTTTTGTGTCTCTCTCTGTCGCTTTCTCTGTCTTGTCTGTCTCTCTTCATCTGTCTCTGTCTCTTTGTCTCAGTCTGCCTCTGTTTCTTTATCTCTCACTCTCTCTCACATACAATGAATAAAGGATATCTATCTTCTGGGACAAATTAGTATGAAGATGGACACAAGACCATCTATAGTTATCTGACAGAAGACTGTGGAAGGCTTTTCAGGTCACGTAAAACAGTTGCTCTTTTAACCCTTTAAGTCATGAGTGCCTGTTCATATCTTTCTTGGCCCAGTAGCCCCTGTGATCAGACTTGTTGGGAGAGGCAGAGAAATTAGGTAGGGAACAGTGTCTTGGGGTGTCTGATTAGACTGTCTGAATGAAAAGAGACTAAGCAGGCTGATTAGGGAACACTTGGGAATGCTCGCATCTGGGCACCAAAAAAGTAAAGGAAGAAAATAAAATCGGTATCATACCCAGTTTCCTTCAGAAGTTAACACAGTCTCTGAAGCTAAAAATAAAAGGGTAAAAGAGTACCAGATGGAAACAGTGTTACAGAAATAACCTCAGGAAAGATGTAATGTTGAATAATGCCATCAAAAGTTTGAGAGGTGAATTTGGTTAAGGTCTGGTTGACGTAGCATTTAATTCAATCCCTAATTTAGATAAAAGATCACTTCTGCCATCATAACTTACACTTAATTCTATTCACCACATATTTAAAATGCAGTACAGCGTGATTAAAGTTAGAGTGCCTGACTCTAGAATCCAGGAGTCTAGCTTCAGTGGCAGACGTAGATATAAATTTTCTGGGTGTTTACCATCTAGAGTGATAAAAGCACAGAAGTAGTTTAGAGAGAGGTGTCTGCAGTTGCTGCAGTCCTTCTTTATTAAATTCTAATTTCTTTTGCATCTTGTATATTGTATATGATGCTTGAACTTGCTGTCTCCGCCATGCAATTTTGCATTTTATTATGAATCTCTTACATTATCATATATATTACCATCATGTTTACTTTTTGTTGTTACCTACCAGACTCTGTATTCTGCACACAGGAGCACCTAGGTAGTCTTGCCATATTGCTTTAATGGAGTGTGTGCTCTCCTTTAGTGTTTTTTTTTTTAAACTTCTAAATTAATTAAAGAGGCAGTAGAGCAGGGAGTGAAATGGAGACCATTATCAGCTACTTCCACGTATTCCCGTCCCACTGCATTTTCATCAGTGTAAGTTTACTTTTCTTGGGATGATGGCTGTAGATGTTAAAATTTTAATCACTATGAACTTGTGTTTGGGAATACTTTAAGTGCCTTTTGAAAGACCCCCGGTTATAGCTTACTGAGTAGAAACGTTGTTTATTCATATCTGCTCTTCTTTCTCTGGTACCAGAGACTGCATGCAGGTTTTGGGCATCGTAGGCAAGTACTGTACCACAGAGCTGTGTCCCAGTTTCCCTACAATGTCCAAGCAAAGCTGCAATGCGCAGTTCTCCTGCATCGACTTCCCAAGTAACTGAAAGTACTGGTTTGAGCCTCTTCCTCTGTCATTATCTGTTCTTTTAAAAAGTGTTCTTTGTTATATCTACGCAAAGTGCAGTTGTGTTTCTAAATGAAGAGTTTGCTTTTTGAGATACAGTAATATCCATTTTGAATAACCATCTAAATACATGTTTCCAGGTGTTCTTTTTTACTTGATACATGCTTTCAGGAAAATTCAGCCAAGTCTCAAATCTGGAATTGAGAACTGTACTATACACCTGTCAATCTGTGCTTACTGCCTTGTTTGCCACTGGCGTCCTCCTCTTGTCCTCTGCAGTTGCGCTGCAGCCCGAGAAGTCACTGTGTGCCCTTTGGGATGCACAGTTCATCCCTTGGTTGCAGGTGGCTTCACTGACTGTAACTGTATGTGTGTGGCCAGCCTCACTCTTTCTCTCCATAAAGTACTGTTTTGTGACTCGTACTGGTTTCTCCTTTAACAGTAGGTTTTTGTTGTTGTTGTTTTTCTCTTGTCCTTAGGTAGACTCAAAAGCTACTTGGAAGAAAGCACCATGTGTATTTTCTTAAATCACCACTATTCCCTTTATGTGTCTGCTTTAAAAAAAAAGTGACAAATGAATATATTGGCTTATAGTTCAGTTCTGTGAAATTTTCAATACATGTGTTATGATGAGTGGTGCTTTTTTTCTGGCAGGGTTCAGAAATGCTCAGAAATCAATCACATGAACGCCCATAATCTGGCTTTGGTATTTTCATCATGTTTGTTTCAAACTAAGGGACAAACGAGTGAAGAAGTGAATGTAGTTGAGGACCTAATTAATAATTATGTTGAAATATTTGAGGTAAGTGTTTCACATCCTGCCTTTGTTATTATAGTTTTGGTGTTACTGTTTACAAAGAAAAATGCATATTTTAGCAAATTGTTATTCACCTTTATTTGTATTTAGAAATGAAGATAATAAGGGATGGTTATTTTTTGAAGATTTTAAATATAACCAGCTTCTTAACCTATAGCCCTTCATCAAATTCATCTGCTTTTAAATCTCTTTTGCCATTTGGTTTTTGTTGGACAAAATAGTTCTTTATATAAGTTTCATGCATGTGTAGTTTTCTTCTCAACATGTGCATGCATTAAGTATGTCTATGAAAAGGTATGAAGCAGTGAGTTTACCAAGTTTAATGATGAACATCACCATTTTAAATTCTACAATGCAGTGTGTAAACTTTTTTAAAATTGTGCTTCCAACTAAAAAACTCTGAAATATTATTGTTCCACGTTTTGTACTAAGTTAACACTATTTCACTTCCTTGATTTTTGAACTTACTGTTTTATAAAGTTAGTATTTTGATCCTTTATCAGTAAATTGCAACAGTACAATGCTCCCACAGGAGCATCTAAATGAATATAGAAAAGATAAGCCCGTGATTTAAAGATTGTGTGTTTGTGTTAAAGGTCCAGTTGAATCAAATAATTAATTCTTGTGACTCAGATTTGTTATATAACCTTTATGGACATTGTAATAAATGATGTTTTGAAATTTACTTATTTTCTGGAGGTACAGAGATATGCTGGATGAAAAGGAATGGGTTAGTGTAATAGAGTAAAACATCATCATCTGTAGAGATCTGCATTCTTAGAATAACTTAGCACAAGATTCCTTGACAAAGTAGTTTTACTTAAATTCACAGAAGAGCAGATACCATTGTTGTTGAATTTTCTTTGCTCTTTGATCTCTTCTCTTTCCTCCTATGTGTGTTCACTATTTTTAATCAATAGCAACTTCTTGCAATAATTTGTTGCTAAATAAAATAAAAAGTGTGGCTTTACATGCTCTCTTTATATTCTAATTTTATCCCATTTCATTAATAGAAACTAAGCAATTATAGTTAAGTCTTCAATTAGGTTATACCCATCTTTTCTTAAATGTTAAAGATTCAATAAGCACTCAGTGAAAAATCTGGTTTTAGAAATGAGTCATGAGTCTCAACCTCCAAGAACTCTGAAGCGCGTCATCAATCTTTTCCTTGGCAGTAGGGCTTCCGTGCATGGAAGCTGCCGCCTGAAGGAGTAGCGTGCACACGTGCTTGGAACATTTCAAGACTCTGTCTTGTTGGCTCTGCGTTTGCCCTAACTGTGTGGCCCTGTGCTGACTCAGATGGCCATGCTCATTTAGTTTTACCTTGTTGGGATTTAAATTCCTAAAGAGTTATTGAGGATGAATATCATCAGTCCTTGTGCTCTACATTATTAGAATGTCCCAAATTATATTTTAAACAGGTTAAAGAAGACCAAGTCAAACAAATGGACATAGAAAATAGCTTTATTACCAAGTGGAAAGACACTCAAGTGAGTAGTAATAGTTAGAGTACTAAAGAATTAAACAAAAACAAAAACTGATGGTAAATAAAAACATTCATTGTATTTCCAAGTTCCTGTTTGAAAGAAAGCAGAAGTGATGAGGAAAAAGAACCTTAATAAAATAATTATGTGATTCTGCAACCTGATACATCCATGCATAATGTTAACATAATTTTTAAATACAGAGGAACAAAGCTATTTCATTATCAAGATTTATTTTTAAAATACTATTGAAAATGCTAATGGACTTCAAAGGAAGCATTTAAAGCCAAAAAATACAAGAAATTGAAAATTCACATAGCATAATGATTCCATCATGATTTTGAAAGTATAAATTATTTCTTATATGCTTTTGCTTTGTGTGCTCTCAGTTGATTATCTTGAGAGTCTTTCTAATGTGATCTTTATAATGCAAGCTAATTTTAAGTCATCCCTCCTAAATCCTGTCTTGCTTTCCTCTGTCCTGTTATATGGAATGTGTGTTTTCAGGTTGCATTTTGCTTTCTCATGTTACCTTACATTGTTTGATGACTATGCATTGGAACCTCTTTAGGCTGACCATTAATCATCTTGAAGTAACTAGAAATTATAGTGGACTCAATTTCTCAGTGTAAATAATAGAAGTGGGTTAAACATGTTCTGTTTATAATTACAGTCATATTGTAAAGCAAAAGCTTCCTTATTAGTCAGACCCTAAATCTACCTACATCTTGAAATACTTACAACTAATTAGAGGAAGCATAAGAACTATCATTCCTTATGAAAGAGATGAGGCAACACTTGGATTGCTCAATCCTAATACTATGATATTATATGTTTAACAAATGATTGCATCCATTTGACCCAAAATAATTACTCCAACTTCCAGTGGTGTAAGACTGTGGTTCATGATCAATTTCCTTTAAATTCTCACCAGTTGAAGGGCCGGGGAGACAGCTCAGAAGCATAAGCGCTTGACTGGCACGGGCAAGGTCTCAAGTTCAATCCCTGGTACCACAAAAAAAAAAAAAAGATAAATTCTTACCAGTTGAGAATTACTCCTAATCTGAAGGGTTGTATGAGACTGAGAGATAATCTTTGGCGGCATTATCTATATTGTTACTAGAAAAGTATTAAAACCCTTGTGCACATTTGTCTTATATTTATAATACATCAAAGAGGTGAGTCTTCAGTGAGTTCAAATGCAGTTAAAAAATAAGAAAACAAGTTTCTAAACAAAACAATAAATGGAGAAGTAGAAGAATTTGAAAAAAACTGGTTCTTTTGCTTGAGTTTTTCATTACCCAAAGCTCTCCTCTTGAATATTTTTCTAACAGTCTGTGTCTTTGCTTTGAGTCTCTTAGCTTTTTTTCTTTATGGCTTTTTACTGTGAGCTCTTTGTGTTTGCTATTTTAATTTTAAAATGTGTCCTTCCTGGAGAGTTATTTATGCAAACATAGTAAAAAGCAAAAAAATAAAAATAAAAATAAAATGTCAACTGTATCTTTTTCTTCCTAGAAGTTTTGCATAGTATCAAAAGTGAGAAAGAAAAGCTGGAAATGATCTTTTCTATGCCTGCGGTGACAGCATAATTATGAACACTTTTTGAAAGTACAATTTGAATGTTTTATCCATAAATTTATGTATCAGATTTTTTATTTAGCCAAATTTAACTTCAGAATGATTCCTTCATTATAATCTTTTGAAAAATACTAGGTTATGAATGTTACTTGTTTTTTCTTCTTTTAAAATCTTTATTTATTTGGTACAAGGTCTCACTATGCAGTTTGGACTCGTAGTGATCTTCCTGTCTCACCCTCCCCAGTCCTGGGATTACAGGCGTGCACCAACCACCACGCCTGGTTTCAGTGGCCAGCACGGCAAGCCCGGGGTTCCGGGGCAGGCATGGCATGCAGTACTGGGGACTGCACCCAGGTCCTTGCACTTGCCAGGCTGACGCTTAGACCACTGAGCTATCTCCCCAGCCCTTAATGTTACTTGTAAGTGGTAATGTAACAGTGAATTTCTGAAAAGAGCTACTCAAAGTATTTTAAAATTTTTTTATTTTATTTTATGTGTTTGGTGCAGCGTCTCTTTATGCATTTTGGACTCATAGTGATCCTCTTGTTTTAAGCTTCCCCAGTGCTGGGATTACAGATGTGCGCCACACGTCCAGACTCTGTCACTGGCTCAGCACACCAAAGAGCAGGGCAGGCACAGCACATGGTACCAGAGATCAGATCCCAGTCCCTGCACTTGCCTAAGCAGGCACTTAGTCTGCTGAGCTATCTTGCAGGCCTATTACTATTTTCTGACATATCTTTTATAATGACCCAAATACTATTCTTAAATTCTTAGTCAAATGTAATTAAGATAAACCTTTTTTGTCTGCCCAATTTTGTTTTATTAAATTCACTTTATCTGTGGTTTTAATACAGATCTGACCTAATTTATCTTTCAGTTATGGTGTTTGGGATTTATCATCTCTTTAAAAATTTAGCAAGGCCTATTTTATCTTTAAGTATTGATACTGTGGATATAATATGATTTAGAGCAAAATTGCATTTGGCCCATTTGACTCCTCATTTTGTTTATCTCAAGGACTGAAAAGTTACATTGTGACTGTAACATTAGCGTAGACTCCTTGTCATTTACCTTATGTTGAAATAAATATATCATGCTTGTGAGCAAGGGAATTGAGCTAATATGTGTTATGATGAGAATTATTAAATCCCATTAAGTGCCATATTTTAGTGATTTATGTGCTGTCTTCACATCTGCCCTTTCTAGGTTTCCCAGGCTGGAGATTTGCTAATTGAGGTGTATGTGGAAAGGAAGGAACCAGACTGTAGCATTATAATTCGGGTGAGTTCTAAGAAGATTGTAAAGAGTGCTATGGGACATCCTAAGTATATAGGCATCAATTTACATACTTTGAATTTTCCAGTGTTTCTTATATTTTATGTTACCTTTCCAGTTCAGTGACAAGATTGTATTTTCACACTACTATTCTCTGAGAGTTTTATGTTTTAGCTATTTGGAAAGGTTAGGATTTTCCGCTATTTCTGGAAAATGACTGGAACTCATATACTTGCTTTTTCCCTTCCTGACTTCTTCACAGTAGGCAGGTTATTAACACTGTCTCAGCCTCCGTCTTCTCATTTGAGAAATGAGGAATGGTTGCAGTTTTCGCATCATACCATGGATGTGAGAATTAATTAAACTCATACATGTGAAACACTTAAATTCTTCAGCAAATAAATGTTTAACATCTATTACTATAGCGATATCATTATTAGCACTACTATTCCTCACTCTTCTTTCCTATACTTTAACATTCAGTCTTCTAATGTATTTCAAATATTGGAAAAGCTTTTTCTTCCTTGGGAGTATTAGTCATTTGTACTGAGTTAAGTTATAGGTCTTTCTCCTACTGCTATATCCAGTCATTATTTTGCCTTGTGTATAGTTGCATTTTGCCATGTAGTAAGCTCAATTTTCACTTCTTAACTTTTTTAAAACCCAACTTTAACCACTTGCAACATATGATTGCTTTGGGTGTTATGTTAAATATAATTTTTTAGGTATTTCTAAAGCTTATGTATTATGGCTATATGCCACTAGCTCCCTTACCTAGAGCTTGTAGCTGAACTATTATGGGAGTTATCAAATCCTTTGTGAGGCATCGGTTTGGCCAGCCTTTGTGTGCATCGTAGTTCTGATGTGAAATGTGTGATTCTTGCCAGAAGTCATGTGAGAAATGAGAATGCATCAGTCAGCATATGTCAGTTCCTAATGCTGGGAGAGACAGTCAAAGCACATGATTTAACCACGGCTACACATAATCTGTGTAGTGGCACATTTTAATGTTACCCACCTTACCAAACCACAGAATTATAGTACAGCAAAGTCCTCACATTTTCTTAAGTGTATAGGGATGAGACTATACATATTTAATGAGAACAACTCCAAGTGCTCTTTAAAAATATACAAAAAGTACTCAAAAATTACCTGTAACATCTGTTTTCCTGCTTAAGACCTTACCAAACCCTTTAATTATATTTTTCTCTGTTAATCATTCCCCCAACCCTTAAGGTACATAGGGTAGCTGACATTCTAGTTTATAAGAATGAAATTTGAGACTTGGAAGTTAAGCTCACATACAAGCCTAGTTGTCATCTAAACCTGGTGGCCATTATACTGACCCTTGCATGCCATAGAGTAGTGATCTCCTAAAGATGGGATTTTTTTAAAGGGGGGGTTTTGGGTTTCTTCTGTGGCAAAGAATTTTCTGCTTCAAGCTGAGGCACTTCTCTGCTGTTTTACAAGTTTGCCTTCTCAGTAATTACTATTTTTGAAGAGCAGCTCCTTTTTCAAAATTTTAAATTAGTGTAGATCAAAAACAACATTGGAATGATTGATCTCTTGTTCTTCCTGTTTGGAATTCTCCACTTACCCTAGATACTAACAGTTTTTAAAGCTTATATAAGCTAAGTACAAAGTGTACTTCATGTTATATTTAATATGTTCCTTAAACAAGCCTTCAATTTCCAGAAATACAAAAGATAGGACATGCGAGTTTCCCGTAGTGAAAAATATTTTTGTATTTATGTGTGTCCAGCAGGCTTAAGAATAATGAGGGGGAGTTGAAATGGAAATGAGCACATTGGTTTACTAAGAAATTTTGAAAGAGGGATACATAAGCTCACTTGCATTCACAATGTATTAATGCTTAAAACTTGTTTCACATTATTACTAAATTAACTAAAGAAAAATTTTTAGCTAGCACACTGAGGATTTGGAAATAAAGCAAAAAGAGACGAAGCTAATCGGAGATCCCAGAAGTCCTGGAAGGAGTACTGTGCTTCTGCAGGGGCCTCTGGCTTTGGCGTTAGGACTCCTGAGGAGCCGGGCCCCAGGCTGGCTCTGCTGAGCCTGCCCTGAAAGCCTGGCTCCGCCTGCTTTGGTGTCCCACCATCTGTCACTGGCATGGCACGGTGCACTGCAGACTCTCGAAACCCTGGGCTTCATGGCAGGCAGTCAACTGTGTATAATTTAGGGCCCAATCTGAATAAAGCAAGTCATGCTGTGCTCTTGATTATGGAACTGACAAATGCGAAGTTTTACTCCTGGGAGATTATTGTACTCATTGTCTGGTGAAAGTCTCTGTGTGACTAAGAACATCTCCCTTCCTTTCTAAGTGAAAAAGTCCTTCCTGATTATGTCTGTACTGTAAAATCCCTTTGCTTTCATGTTAAATTATTAGATTTTATGGAAATGATCTGGACGTACTATCTCTGCCTACTACTTAGAGAAGGTAGATTTTACCACTGGAGGAGATGGGGCACTGTTAGAGCATTACTGCTTTAGCACAAGGCTGCTTCTGTGTCTGATGTAGTTTTTAAAGACATATTGCCTTTTTGGCAGATATCTCCTGTGATGGAAGCAGAAGAATTAACTAATGACATATTAGCAATAAAAAATATTGTTCCTACAAAAGATGATATATGGGCCACATTTGAAGTCATTGAAAATGAAGAGCTAGGTAAGTGATTTTAATGTTGGGGATTCTGAAGTCTTTATAGTGTGAAGAAATGTTCTTATTTTAGAGGGAGAAGTTATTACTAACATTTTATGTCTTCCTAAATACTAGCCTCTTATTATAAATTCCCTTCTAAATCCATGTTATATGTTCCCACCAGTCAAGGTTTCCTTCCTATGAATTTATTCACCAAACTAATTAGATTGCGTATTAACTGTAAAAACAAAGTGTAAAGCATTAGATAGTTCTTTTTGCCTCATGAAAGAAGGCCTTTGTTTATAAGGAGAAGCCATGAGATTTATAAAAATATTCTGTCACTGTCACCATTCTTATATGCCACTAATTTAAGAAGAATCAAGCATGTATAAAGATTATTTCATATTCTAGTTTTTTTAAATTTTAAATGCAGCAGAAGCTTTTCTTTTTCTTTCTTTCTTTTTTTGGCTGTTTCATTTTCCTCCGTTTTTAGCACATCAAATATTTTGTCCTTGTTCATTTGAAGAAATTGAAAGGCAAAGAGATAGTTTAAAGCACCTTGTTTACCCCATCAAGTGCTGAATGAGCTTAAAATTCTAATTACAAAATTTAGTTTAAAAACCTCTAGGGCAGGGGGGAAGGGATGGAGAATGTCTTTATCCCTTGACCATCTGTCTAGCTAATACCTGCTAAGGTCAGGGGACCTTTTCAAATATAGCTGTCAAACTGCCAGACGGAAACCTTGCCACCCACAAGCTCAAATAAAAATTGAAATTTACTGTTGAAATACCCCGCAACGCATTATTAGGAGTATTGCAGTCAGTGTTAGATGTAAGGGGAATGAATGTTGGTGTTTCGTCTTTGATTAGTCCATCTCGATATTTTAATCCCTTTGTTTTAATCATACCCAGAGTCCAAAAACCTTAGTTTGTGGCTAGGCATTATGTTTTCAGTATGCAGTGCTGAGATATAGGTTCCCTAGTGTCAGTGCTCAGTCTACCCCAGGCTAGAACTGCTCTGGCTAAGGCTCCTGGGATGCCCCTGCCCTCTGCCCCCAACTGTCAGATCCAATAGATTTGCTGGAGGCTTTACCTGTCCAGTCTGCAGCCTTGTGAATGACCTTCCTTTCCCTTCTCCTTTGATGATTTTCATTCCATTTGGAATCCTATATTCTCTAGTCATTTGGATTTGTTTTTAGTTTTTCCTTCCTTCGATCTAAATGTGAAATTTCCTTTCTCCAGTGTCCTTCATGATCTTTCCTTATAAGCTTTTTATGGGAAACCCATTGCATTCTTTGCACTTGGCCAACATGTACGTGTCATTTCACGAACATAAACCTTTGTTCTTCCCTCATCAGGCCCACATGTTTATCTCCTGTCAAATCCATGTTCAGTTTCGATGCTTTATCTCTGAGGAGCTTCTTCAAACGAAATAGGGATTCAGTTATTTCTTTGCTTTTTTGTGTTTACTGTCTAGCATGGTGCCATGCAGTTAACATCTATTAAATGAAGCATGCTAGTATGTGGTTATGTGATATGGGCATGATAGGGTTTTTTGATGTTTTTCTTTTTAAGTTTCCTAATGGGCCCAGGTTCTCAGCTTCATTGCATTTGTGAAAGGTATTTGTTGGCATTATTTTCAGAATTGACTATTTCACATTGCCTTGTATCAGATTAGATCGTGGCCTTCCACCAAAGAAAATTTTGCTTTGTTATTTTGCCATCGTGTATTTATCCTTAAGATCCAGCTCAGGTGCCTCAGTGACATTCTGATGAACATAGTTTGCACTGATTTACTTTGATCATTTGCTTCTGTATTTATAATACTACATGCTATCTACTTTGTAGACTAGGATTACTTACATTCTGGCTCTTCCTTTGATCAGACCTTTTGAGGCCACTTAACATATGTTCTGTCTATGGCCATGCCACCCTGAATGAGCCTGATCTCATCTGATCTCAGAAGCTAAGCAGGATTGAGCCTGGTTACTACTTGAATGGAAGAACATATGTTCTAGATCCATACATCTCTCACAACCTATAGGATAATGCACTGATACAAACGTTCCCCAATCAATCTTCTTTACTGAGGTAGGAGAAGAAAATAAAGGACTATTTCCGTTGTAGATCTGGGATTGTGTTTGTACTGTGGCTCTTTATACACATACATCCAAGTATAAAAAGCACATGAAAAGACATTCTTGCTACTGGATTTGTAAGTCCTGGTTAGGGCTTAAACAGTTGATTATTTCCTGCATACATTTCTTTATTTTAGGAGAGTCATTGCAGGATACTGAATCATATTTTAAGGTCACATACTTTAAGTCCTATATTGTAAGGGCCCTACTAATATTTTTCAAGGTTTAAATTTTATTAAAGCAGTGGCTTTTATGACACTGAGTGACAGCCAGCTGTGTGTTATCGCTAAAACCTCTAAAAGGTTTGCCACCAATGAATCAGAGCATTCTCTTGGGCCTCATGCCTTCAGTCACTAGTCTTCCTGACAGGAACGGATGGAATGGATGATGACAGGAAGGAAGTACATGCAGCTAAACAGGCTACATTCTACCTGGATACATTGTTTTTGAAATTTCTTTTTGGAAAAGCAGGGACTTCTTACCCTGAAAATGACTAGTTATCCAATTGCAGTGATAATCAGCATTATAAAATGCTAATATTTGATGGGCCTTGTGTTTTTCCTTCTTTTCCTTTTAATAGCAAGTTAATAAAGAGTTTCCCTAATGAAGATGCAAATGGCATCAGTTTGGCTTGCTTTCTGCATGTCTGAATCAAAGAAAGAGCTCGGGGACATCAAAAGTATATACACTTAGAGTGGAGAACTCAAATTTGGCGTAATGTTAGTATTTGGTTAACTGTACTGTAGAAATTGCCAGAGGGAAAGTGAGAGTGTTTTTACTGCTTCTAGGAGAAAATTACAGAGACACCGGAAAAGTGGCTGGTTGGCTATAGTAGATGGAACCTGCATGTTGCTGACCTGCAGCCTTAAAAGCTTTATTTCTAGTAACATTCAGGGAGGATATAGTGAAATATAAAAATAAGGTGCAATGAAAGGTGTAATAATAATTACAAGATTTTGGTTGGCAGGAAGAAAGTCAGTAGGAAATTGGCAAACTTTTTAATGTAAAAATGAATTATTTAAGTACTAAAATGATCAAACATTAATAAATGGATAAAACAATATTTCCATACCCTGTCACATCCAGTGCCCTATTAGTGTAATAATTCCATATTGTTCACTTTACCTTTTAGAGATAATTTATTATACTTTTTAAAAATCAGCATAATCCACATATTTCAGAATAATTAAGAGAAATGTACAATAAGTGATATGTTTATATAATTTGCATATGTGGTCATAAGTGATGAAAATAAAGGGCCAGCCAGATAGCTCAGTGGATTAAAGCACCTGCTTAGGCAGAATGCAGCGGCCAGGGTTCATTCCCCTATGTACCATGCAGGCTCTGCCCCCAGGGTGCGCTGAGAGGTCAATTGAGACTGGGTGTTGTGCCGCACACCTATAATCCCAGCACTAGGGAGGCTGAAAACTAGAGAATCACTATTAGTCCGATCTACATAGTGAGACCCTATAGACCCTGCACTAAAAACAAAAACAAAAACAACAAAAAAAAAAAACTAATGAAAATAGATTTATACACCTATAAATAGAATCAATATAGACCTGCTTGTCACAAGTCCAGCATAACATTTCAGTTTTATGACCAACAATATTAGCAGCATTATCATCATTGGTGAAATGGAGAGAAATTCTTACTAAAACATACACAACCTCTGCATGGTAGATTCATGGAACCGTAAGTCTAGGATTGACCACGCAAAACGTTTTGATATTTTTCATATCTTGATTTTTATATTGCAATCAAACAAATATACAAACTTAAATTAGACCTATCTTCAATTAGTGTATATAGGTTTTCCCTTTAAAGAAATACCTGTTGGGCTCTTTAAATTTATACTGGTTAGAAAACATTTCCTTTGCACATCTTGAAAGATGTCAAGAATCTTTGGCATGCTCACGCTATTTGTTAGGGCAGGCTCAAACCCATGGTAGCAGAGTATGTTTGGTGGCTTTCCTTTGCTGTGACAGATACTTGAAGTCAGCTTAGAAGGAGTGAAGCTTTCTTCTGAGTGATGGTTGCCGAAGGTTCAGCACATTACCAGGTGGCACTGTTGCTTTTGGGCCTGTGGTGAAGTGGAGCGTCACAGTGGGGAGTGTGTGACAGGGAAGCTGCTCACTAGATCAAGGTGGCTAGAATCAGAGAATTCAAGTTCCCAGAGCCCCAACTTTGTCCTTTTATTCCCTATCTCCTAACAGTTCTCCCTCCTTCCAGTTGTGCCACAGGCTAGAAACAGCCTTCAGCACTTGGCCTTTGGGCTCCATTCAGATTCCAAACATAAGCAGAGAGGATATTCCCTCTATCAGTAGCAGCTCCTCTAGAATATTTTGTTATTCTAATCTCCACCTGGAAACTGATCTTGTCCTGTCAGTGTAGCACTTGTACCTTTCAGGTCCTTTATATCTTGGAATAACTGTCCAAGGACTCTCGTAAGTAGACCTCACTGAGAGGCTGGAATTATAGAACACCTGCTTTCTTTTCTTTTTTTTAAACACCTACTTTCTGTACAGCAGTATCATAATGTTTTCTTCTTGCTGCCTCACAGCTAGTACGCTATGAAAGGTGTGGTTTTTCAAAGATTCTTGTCCTCATCATGGACACCATGGAGTACTGCCATCCTCTGATCATGTGGATGGGACAGAGAAAAGCTCTGAAGGGCCTACCTCCGACACGAAGAACTTGATGGTTGAGGAAGTCATGATTGTCTCGGCCATTACTAACAGAAATTTAAGGAAATGTTCTATTTCAGAATGACAATGAATGGCTATTTTTAACAAGGGACATTGGGCTTATCCTTTTTAAAAGATTTTAAGCAGTTAATGTTGTTCTTATCTCATAGAACTGGCTCCGTAATCTATTTTTCCTAAAAAATAGGAAAATGAATTATCCTAAATTTTTAGCATTTTTTATTTTGCTATCATAAAAGTTATTTAATGTGACTGTAAAATATCAGTGTAATAACAGTATGTATAAGGAATGTATAGGAGTTTAAACTGATAACTGATATAAAATATACAACACATGTGATAACTAATGCATAGTTACTCCAGGAGTGACAGCTATTAATGGATCCCAATGCCTCAGTGCTATCAAAAATTATATACCATATGTGATGGGAGGGTTCATACTGTAATTGTTTTGACATTTAGACACTTCTAATCCCGATGATAAACCAATTCATAGGGTAATCAGTAACATCTTTATAACTGTGGCGAACTCTGGCCAATTGTGATCTTTGTCCAAGCTTTTGGAAAATTATTTGAAGGAGAGCAATGTTGATGAAACACAAATGTTTTTTTCTAGTTTAAAAAGAAAAAAACACAAAACATAGTTGTCTGCTGCTCTTACAACAAATGTTTTCTATAATTTGTAGTTCCCAAAAATTCATTTAATAGTTAATACCTGAAATATTTGTTGAGCATCTATTATGTACTTCTTACTCTACCATATGCAGAAGATATTTAATAGTAAATCAACATAGAGATTTTAAGATGGATGAACTAATGACTCTTTTTAAAAAATCCTTATTATGAATAATAAATAACTTTAATAAACACAGAATGAAGAATTGGATTTCAGCTGGCTGGATAGGAAGCAGAAATCTTGCAGTTTACCTGAAAGCAGAAAACATTTTCTTTTATGGACCTGGGATAATTGATAACTCCTCTAATGATGTGGTCATAGCCCACAAAGGCACAATGACAGAAGATGTGATATATTTGATCCATTTTATTTGTGATTTTATTAGCAGTTAAAATACCATGGTCATGTATACTGCCTCTTGCCTGCCTTTTCTTGCTTATCATTGGCAATATTTGAAAGCAGAATGCTCCGCTCCTGTATGGGGGTTGAGCTGACACACGGCTGTGGGAAAGCAGCATCAGCTCTGTCGTTGGGACAGAGCTTCTCTTCTTACTAATTGTGCCACTCTCAGTGCACCGAGAAAGTTTGAATTTCTTTTTCCAGCATATCCTTGTCATACTGTATTAAACTGATTGGCATATTTTGATCACCAACAAAACTTCCTTATGATGTTTTGATTATAATTGTAAGACATTTTAAAACGCCATGCTATGAATATGTGATTCATTTATCTAAAGCAAAAAGATACAAGATTCATTGAAGAAAAACTTTAAATCACTATTTAATTTCTTTTTTTTTTTTTTTTTTTTTGGCGGAACCGGGGATTGAACTCAGGACTTTGCGCTTGCCAGGCTGGTACTTACGCCGCTGATTTATATCCCCAGCCCCAAATAATGATAATAACATCTCTATTCTCCAGCCTGGTGGCTATTTTTTAAAGCAGCTAAGGCAAGGATAGCCATTGGAATTGGCATTTTTTTTTTTTTTTTTTGGTGGAACCGGGGTTTGAACTCAGACCCTTGTGCTTGCCAGGGAAGTGCTTATTCCACTGAGCTATATCCCCAGCACTACTATTTAATTTCTTGCATATTGGCCTATTACTATATACCAACAATATAATACTGTTACATGATGGCTTTGATTGATATGTCTACTAATAGTAATGCATAAATTGCTTAATACTGTTATATAATTTTCATATTTGTAATATTTTATAATTTTATGCTAAGTATGAAAATACTAGCTGAAAGGTTAGTATTAGTGGTATTGATCAAAAGTTTTAAAGTTCTAGTCCTTTTTTTTTTTTTTTCCCATGGCTAATGCATTATTTTATTGCATATAAATTGTTAATATCAGTGTTCTGCAAATTACAACAAACGTGACTCCTAGCTGTTCAATGGGCATGGTCCTTTTATGGTTGTTGCTCAGAAATTTTATTTATTTATGTGTGTGTGTGTGTGTGTGTGTGGCCAGCTCTGCCCACCAGGGGGCGGGGCTGGCTGGCATGTGGTGCTGGGGGATTGAACCGCGGTCCCTGTGCTTTGCCAAGCCCGTTCCAAGTAGGTGCTTTAGACCACTGAGCCATCTCACCAGCCCCTCTAGTCCTTTTTGGACCAAAAATTAGGCATTCGTATTAGTGTTTGACAAAATTGGTTTTGCCACCCTTTTAAAGTTTCTTAATTTCATATGCAAATTATCACCTCTCCCTAAGAAAACCAAAATGTTACCTAAATTAAAAAAAAAAAATAGAATAAGGGCTGGGGAGATAGCTTAGTGGCATAAGCACCTCCCTAGCAAGTGCAAGGCCCTGAGTTTGATTCCCAGTACTGCAGAAAAAAAGAAGATAGAATGATACACATGGTCATAGTACTAAAGGTAGCTTCCTAAAATCTTATCCAAAGGAAAGCAGTTTTGTACCTAAGAAAAAATAGTTGTGTAGCAAACACATGTTCACAGATTTATTTATGCAATAAATTTATTATGTGCTGAATAATTTTCTAGGAATTAGGGTTTCTTGCATGTATTTCTCTATTTTTATATACTTGTGTCTTTAAGAGGATTTTTAAGTATTTATAATGACAAATAACAATTTCAGTGTGTTTGGCCTTTCTATCTGCAGAGCGTCCTCTTCACTACACAGAGAATGTATTGGAACAGGTGCTTCGGTGGAGTGCTTTAGCTGAACCTGGTTCTGCTTATCTTGTGGTGAAGAGATTCTTAGCTATTGACACAATTAAACATTATAGAGGTAGGTGCCGTTCCTTCGCACTGTGGTGATGGTTGACAATTCAAGTGGCTAAGGGTTTAAGTATATGGCACAAGTCATGCATTTGCAAAGGCAGCAAGTGAGTAGCTAGTTACACATCTGGTTATGTACAGTTTTAAAGAAAAGTAATAGGTAGGGAGAAATTTTCCTAGCAGATAGCCCGGTATAATAATTGGTTATTTGATGGTAATATTTTTAAGATTTACATTTGCAGTACTTGTGCCTGTGTGTTTTCCAAGTTTGAAACTGGATTAAATGAACAGATTAGATTTTTGATGAAGCTGCTTGTTTATTTGTGTTTAAATTTGAATGTTTTCTAGCTATTGAAAAAGTACAGCTTTTACAGGCTGTGAGATTGAATGCTTTAAGTCTCAATTTATTTGCAATGATGTTGGGAAAAAATGGAAAGTAAAGCATTTCTACAAAGAATACTTGCTAACCAAATGGAATAAAACAATGTATACTGTAAGGTTAAAGAAGTTAGCTAGCACAAGTGAACCAAATGAAACAATCTGAATGTATATGGTACATTAAAAAAATTTTTTTTGCCACTTTCATTCCCCTGTTGTGTTGTCATCAGCTTCATTTATCATCCAAACCCCAAACTAAGACTAAAGTCTTTTGGTATAAAAGTTACCACAACTTTTATAAGTAATATTAATAACCATTTTATATACTGGTCACATATCATTAGCCAAACTGAATATGCATTAAAATCAGTTAATATTTAATTTTTCCTTGTCAATTATCTTGTCACTTTAATTTTACAGAAGAGGAAAAGAGATTATAGAAATGGTAGAACACTGGCCTACCACATAGATTATAGGCCTTCTGTTTGATTCCCACAGCTAACAGTTTGGCCTTCCAGATTTTTGGTTTGTGTTTTTTTGTTTTGTTTTGTTTTAATATGAAAGGGTAATGGGGGTCATACAGTTCTAAAATGCTGTAAACTAATTCATTGTGATTACAGGTTGTCTAGGTAGTAGTCCATATTCATTGAGCTCTTAATTATACCAAAGCTAATCTAGTAATTTCTGATTTCATGCTACTATCCTTTGTGTCTTTTACTTACCTGAAACTATTTTTTTTTTATTTTATTTTATTTTTTGGCAGAACCGGGGATTGAACTCAGGTCCTTGCGCTTGCCAGGGAAGCGCTTATTCCACTGAGCCATCTCCCCAGCCCCCACTGAAGCTGTTTTTGCAAAACACATTTTTTCTCATTTCATCTAAAAAAGAAAATGGGTTTTTTTTTGTTGTTATAGAATATAGCCTTTCTAAGAAACCTTTACCATATTTTAAATTTCTTTTCTATTCCTACCTATGATTTCGATCACATCTTTTTTGTACCTTCTAAAGAATTGCAGTAGAAATTCTAATCATTTGAATGAATCATATATGCATATAATCATTAAGAGATGATTTCATTAGAAAGAGACATTGAATGTGTCTGCACACGTGTAACTCACAAGTTGAGGCTGGAAAGTATGGTTGTGAGATACATATGATATTTTGTGGGTAGAGTCCAAGGATGCTGCTAAACACCCTGCAAAACACAAGACAGCTCTACACAACAAGGTGCTATGCAGTTCAGGTGGAACTGCATCCAGTTTTGATCGTGTCTGAAATCTCTTCTAGCTCACAAACTCTATTACTGTTTCATTTTAATATTGTAACAAAAAATTAGGAGGAAAAACTGAGCTGAAATGTAGGTCAGTGACAGAGCTCTGTACTAGCATGTGGAAGGTTCAATTTCCAGCACCCCCTACAGAGATAAAGAAAAAACGAACAACTACTGAACTTGTGAACTATGCTGTGTAAGCATTATTATTTTGTGGTTTCTTTTCTTATAGCAGATACCTTTCCTTTTCTGTTCTTTTGTCTTGTGATAATTTTTTTCTAATATTCCTATAAAATATCTATAAATCTCTGTATTGAAAAACCTTTGAAATTTATAACTACATATAAAAAATTAGCTGTTGTCTGAATCATAGTGTGCTGGCTCTGTGAATGACAGTATATAATGAATACTAACATAAGGTATGATAAGAAGGTTTTGCGCATGTGGGGACTAGGATACTCTGAAGCAAGGGGATCATTCAGTGACTGTTAATCACTGACGAAATAAAAAAACTGGATTGAGTCAATTCAGGTCAATCTCATGTGAATAAGATCGTCATTTTGTAAGTGCATGAAGAAACCACAATAAGAAACAAACTATATGATTCTGTCCACAGAGTAGGGAGGATGATTGGGTGTTGTCATGCTGCTGCATATAGCCCATTGTGTCATGTTGATGGTTATGAGTCAGCCCTTCTACAGGGAAAGTATCAACTCTATAAGGTCTAGACAAAACATCTTATATAGAAACTGCAAAACTCAACCACAAGAGAAAGAGGTGGTAGACGTAAATGGTATTTTAGACTTTATCATGAAACATTCATAGTAAAATGTCAAGAAACTTTTGTGTTACTCTTTTAGCTCTTCCACTACTTTTAACACGGTAGGAGCTGGAGGACAAATCCCTGTCCCTGAACTTCCCCATCTCATTTTGTTAATTCATTATGCTTTATTGTTATACTACCTAAAGTACTTTCTACCAGGGAATTATATCTCCAGGATGTTAGGGTTAACACCCCGGGTAAATATATAGTGGAAAATTTTCTATTAGTAGTTAATATTTTTGACCAGTAATAAAAATAACCTGTTTAAAATACTGTAGTTTCTTTTCCTGTAAAGAAAGCAAAATGATTTTAATTATGGTTGTTTGAACCGTAAGTAAAACATTTGTTTGAATGTTTGAATTGTTAAAATGTTAGAATTGTCCTTTTAAAGATTCTTATTTTGAAGTTCATTTCTTAAGTCATGATTTTCCCCACTGTAGTTGTATCTTGAAGAACTTTGATCTTATTTCTGTGGGATATACTTCGTGATAAATTTGGAGTAGTTTACTTACCCTACTATGTCTCTGACTTGACAAATGTCTCCCAAATCAATCACAGTGAACATATACTTGAAAGTTATTACTACATTCATTATATCTACTACCCCTTATAATTGAGATCTAAAAGAAAAATAATGTCACATATGACTTCTCTCATACTTTGTTGGCAGAAAATACTGGTTCATCCAAGGAACAATTATTCTTCAGAGCAGAATAGGAGTAATATATAGATTTTCTTTCTGTTCTTAATTTTTATTTTAGGGGCCTAATAAAAATTAACAGTTTGAAAATGAGTTAGTTGGATACAACCATATTTTCTCTAGGTAACAAATAGGTAATGTAACAACTTAGTAAAACAAAGTTTGTGTCTGAAAGACAATTCAGTGTTCGCACACTTGCTTATCACCTACAGAACACTAGTTTCAATCACCAGCAAGAACACTAAAAACCACAAAAGCATGAAGTTATGCTACACCATCCTTTGCAAAGTATTCCATCCTCTAGTATTTGGTACCTCATTACCTCAAATTTGGCTGTCTTTCTGTATATTCCTATCTGTATGCCTCTACATCTGTGTATCTACCATTCATCTACCATATCGTTCTCTGATTGTTTGGTAATTTTGTGAATTTCGGGGATAAATTTGATACAAAGCTTTCATCATTTTCTAGATCAAGTTTTGTTATATAATAACCATTTGTTATAGTTTTAAGAGTTTTAATTTCTTCAGTTCTCTTTATCTGAATCATTTGAAGTGTAGGCATAAGTAGAAGTTTTAGAATCATTGAACATTTAATTTCTGCTCATTCATTTAAGGTAATTAGATAGAATACTTTCCATTTATAGAAGTATAAGACAGTGAAAGTTTTATCTCTACTTGAAAATCAGATCTGTTTTTCAAAAGCAGCATTGTAGTTCTCAGACACATTTTTTGCCATTGCCATTATTGTAATGAGGAGTTAATTACGTGAAAAAAGATCATAGTCTTCAGATTTCATTTGTACTTTATGGATTAAAAGCTGAAACTCTGAGATGGGAATAGTGAAACTTCATTTTAAGTTGCTATTTAAACTTTTGTCTTAGCTACTCTAAACCATTTTTATTATTGTTATCTATTACATTAAGCTTCAACATCTCTGTCACAAGGAAACCATAAATTGACTCTTCTGTATGACTCCATAATAAGTGATTTTATATTGCTAAAGTCTTACTTTAATCATTAAAGTTCTTTAAAATTGCCCCAAGAATTTCATTCATGCCAATCAGATCTTTGTAATCTAAATGGAGAAGAAAGGCCTTTAATCTTTTAAGTTGTAACTCAAATGCAGATCATTATGTGTTTATAAATTTAGGTTGCTTTGTATTGTGTTTTTAAGTTACATTTGCTTTGGAGTAGAGTAGTTGAAAATGCAAGTGCTTCTGAAATATTCAGACGTAGAAAACTAAGCTTTTTTTACTGTCAGTAGACTTAAGAAATTACAGAAAATTTCAGGAAAAAAATGTGATTCTAAAAGTCATACTCTAGCTGAAATTAGTCACATTTCACCTCCCATCAAATCTTCTTAAAGGCAAAGATGTTTAAAAAGTTGAAGGTAAGACTTAGCCTACTTCAAGTGGAATTTCAAAATTCATGACAGTCCTTGATATCTGTATGGACTGTGAATGTCCTGTCATTTTGGAAAGTTTTATTACCTTTCTTGTTTCATTCAGGAATCTACTATAGAAAAGTTAAAGGATGTGTAAATATATTTATCCAAAAAAAGAGAAAATCTAAATGAAGCCTACTTAAATAAAAGCTTAGAAATACAGCATGTAATAAATGACTATTTTAGGACCGAATATTTGCAAAGTTTTTAAGCACATAAAAATAGTTCAAGTAATTCATCATTGATTTCTCTTTTTACACTAATCTCTCCTGTTTATGAAAATATTTTTCTTTGTTTAGTGTTTCTTGTAACAGTATAGATGAAAGAATTTTATGATACTGCTTTATAAACTTGTCAGATAATCACCAATGACCACACTTATGATAATAGTTTTGTGTGTTACTTAAGGTTTTCAGTTGCTAGGATATAATACCGTAGAGTCACAATTTTAAAGAGAGATTTAATTTGGCTCATGATTTTAAGGGATTTAGTCTGATTGGCTGGCTGCAGGGCAAAAGCTTCAGGGTACAGAGGAGTTGCAGAGCAAGCCTGCACACCCTGTGGAGGCTGGGAAGCAGACTGGGGAAACACCGCCATAGAGGAACGGGCAAAGGAACCAGATAGAATACGGCTCCCAGCTCCTGCCATCTTGACCTGTCCGACACATTTGTAAGTGTGCCTTACTAATCCTCAGGGGCCTTCTAAGCTAATCAGTTTGAGGATCCACCTTAACTGTCACATCTGCTCGCTCTTAGACCTATGAATGAATTACCTAGGCACTGGGCATATGGTCATACCTTATTGATAAAATTTGAAAGGTTTACTAACTCGAACAATAATTATAATGATGAAGGTGTAGATGTATTTTGTTAAGCTGTTATACTATACTATATAGCTCATAACTCAATTATAACTTTAATATTGGGTAGTTTTTTATGTATTTAGTACAGGGTCTATAGGGTCTCACCACATAGATCAGACTTGTAGTGATTCTCCTGTTTTCAGCCTCCCAAGCACTGAAAGTACGGTCAGATGCCACCATGCCCCGTCTCAATGGCCATCTCAGTGCACCCCTGGGGCGCGGTAAAATTGGTTATTTTTTTTAAAGCAACATTATCATTAATGACTTTTTCCATGTGCCTGTTCTCAAACAAATTCTCAGGTACATCCAGTATTTTCTAAATTGTTCAGTATATTTTTTTGTATTTACCTATAAAATACCCTTTAAATGTTTTTGTGTTTGACTCAGAGAACATGTTACTATATTTGTTGTTGTTGTTGTTGTTTTGGTGAACTACATTATGTTTGTGTTGTATTGTGGTATCAGTTCTTGGATCTGCATGGAGATTTATGATGAGGTCTGTGGAGAGAAACTTAAGGGCCAAAAGTGGCACACCTTAAATTAGGCAAAATGCTAATTTAGGCAAGCATTTTACTAAGGACAGTAGATATATGGTTGTATTATATCATGACAAATTTATAGTCAAGATCAGTGACATATACTGACTCTGGGAATTTTTCTTCCACTTATTACATTCTAACATTTCAATTATAAAAATATATTCCTATGATTCAGTTTTCTGTTTTTTTGATACTAATTATAGTAAAGAGTTCCCATGAAATAAACTGGATCTTAAGACTGGAAATTTTCTAGAAAACTTTTCGTGTTACTTTGTAAATTTAGACACTGCATGGATATTTAAAATTTGGTCACCTTAATTGTAGGAAATTGCTAAGGCCTCTAGGCCTGACATATTATTCTACACTGCCACTTTTATGTACATTATGCAGTGTAGAGGCGCAGAGGCCAGCAGAATAATATAGGTTTCTTTGCTTTTATTTTAAGGAAAAGCATAAAATGATACCGTGACTAATGATGGTATCATTTTTTTTTTTTTTGCTTCATTTTTCCCTTCCATTCTTCTTCACTCCTCAAATACACAGTTGAATATATGGGTTTCAATAAAAACATTTAGATTCCATTGTGTAAAATACCATATCTTTATACATTTTTCAGTTGATGGGCATCTGGGTTGATTCCAGGATTTAGCTACAACAAATTATGCTCCTATAAACATGGGTGCACATATATTGCTGTGGTATCAGTTTTTAGTTCTTTTGGAAAAATACCCAGGAGGGTAATAGCTGGCTTGAATGGGATCTCCAGTCCTAGCTTTTTAAGGAATCTCCACACTGATTTCCATAGTGGTTGTACCAGTCGGCACTCCCATCAACAGAGAAGAAGTGTTTCTTTTTCTCCACAGCCTCTCCAGCATTTGTGATTGGCTGACTTCTTCATGTTAGCCATTCTTTCTGGGGTGAGATAGAATCTCACTGTTGTTTTAATTTGCATTCCTTAAATGACCAGTGATGTGGTATTTTACACAATGGAGTATTATTCAGCTATAAAGCAGGATGCATTTCAGTCTTTTGTCTGTGAATGGATGCAAGTAGAGAACATACTTAAGTGAAATAAATCAGACCCACATGTGCAAACATTATATTGTCTCCTCAGTGTGAGAACCTGAAAGAGAAAAATGGAATCTGAAGGGTACAGTAAATACTGCGAAAAGGGAATGAACTTATTCAGAAGGAAAGAAAGAATTACTAAATTGAAGAGAAGGATAGGAGAGGAAGTGGGGGAAAGAGATTTATCTATGCATGTAAGCAGGATGGTTTGGACAACTGTACTGTGCATTTCTGCTGGTCTATAAAAAGGAACAGATAATACTTCCTTTCATCTCTTTTTTTTTTCAATTGTTTGTGCTTTTTCTCAATTTCTTATATGTTTCTTTTTTTATTCTTCTAATTTTACATGCATATTTCTGGTAATATGAATAACTGGTTGGAAGACAACACTATGTCTTGTCAACACAGTAACAAGTACTGTGAAAGTCATATTGCTTTTTAAGTAAAATTCTGTATCACTTGTAATTTTTTGTTTTAAATGTAATTTGTACTCTTTAAAAAATATAAAAAGAACTTTCAGACTAAAAATATATTGATAGTTTATACATTATAAAATAAAACATTTTTTCTCAATAAAAGTGTTTTTAATGGAATTAGTTTAAATGATGTCTAAGTGTACTATGCTGACCATACTGCATATGAAATCTCATTGTCAGATATGCTATTGTAATGATTTTGCTTTTGCTTCTTTCATATTCACAGCAGTTTTTCTAATCGCATGAGAATTTCTAGATTTTTTTCTGAGTTAGAATTCTTGGACTCCTGAGTTAGAGTTTTGAGATGTTTCCTTTCCTATCTGTACATTTGCACTGTTTACAGTAGTACTTTTGAGAATTATAATGTAAGCTGTATATAATATTAAATTCCTCCACAGCCACATTTTTAAAAGTATAAAGAAAGAGGTAAAATTGAAATTACTGTTTCATTAGTATGTCTTACCTCATCTCTCATAGAAAAACATCATTTCTACAGGTAAGCAACATTTAAAATGGTTATATTTTACTTTTTTTTTTTTTTTCTCTTAAGGAAGCTTTCAGTACAGGTGTGTGTTTTATACTTGCAGCACACCTCAATTCACACGACCCATGTTTTGTGTGCTCACCTGCCTGTGGCTAATTGGGCAGCACTGCAGGCCTGAGTGCAGTTGAGCAGTATTTCTGATGAGTGGTGTCCCCAAGAATTCGCATTGCGCTACTATGTTGTAGAAAATTATTTTTATTAACAAAATTAAAAACATATGGATGTTTTATATTGTATTCCAAATATGTGAAAATATAACCAACTTTAAAAATAAACTAATCCTATACTTTTCAGAAAAAGGTGTCAAGGAAGGCATTTTGAAAATCAAAGAAGAGCCATCTAAAATACTGTCTGGGAACAAATTTCAAGACCGATATTTTGTTCTACGAGATGGATGCCTCTTTCTGTACAAGGATCCAAAGGTAATGATCTAAGTAGAATTTGAACATGCATGCATTTTTATTTGTATGTGTGGTCATTGACGTTTTGTTCTACACTTCCGTCAGCCATGTCTCTTGAAGTCACAACAGTAGTAAAGAAAATGCATGGTAAGCTTATGATTTCTTTCATCCTCTGGGATGTGACATTATTGCCCTCAGTAATACAGTAGAAATATCTGATGGCCTTTCAAAGCACCTTAAGTTTTTTAGGACATGGAATGACTTAGGCCCTGAAGAGAATTTTAATGTGTGCTATATAAAATTGCTTAAAAATCAGCACCTTAGTGAATAAAATTGAGAATGTGCCATAGCCTAAGGCAAGACAGGTAAGCTACTAATAAATATTAATGGAAAGTGGCATAAAAAGGAAAAATAAAAAAATGATAATAAATCTTAATATGCTTTCTATAAGTTTGAATGAATTGGCATATGTTATGTCATATTTACAAATTGTATCAATTTGATTATTCTCTAAATTCAGTAAAGGAGTCTATTAGGAATTGTGGAGTAAGGAGAGAAATTAGAGATAAAAACATGGAAAGTTGGATGTCATGTAAATATGAGAATGCTGAACCTAGCATCAGAAATTCTTATCTCTGCTGAGAGCTGGCTATGTGAATGAATAACTTAACCTCTTAACCTCAATTTCTGAATCTGTAACATGATGATGATAGTTTGAGTTCTCCAGGTCAGGTTATTTTGATGTTTAATCAAGAATATATGTAAAGCTATTTTTGTAACTGAAACAGTTTATAAATACACATGACAATAATAATATATTCATGAAAGAGAATACTCAGAATATGAATAGCTAAGTTTCAGATTGAAAAAAATATTCCAAATACATACATCAGAAAAAGATATCATATATATCCTTTATATGAACCACTCTTCCAAATCAGTAACAAGAAGCATACCCAGTGACTAGGGAAAGAATTGAAAAGAGACTATATGAAGAGACATATAGAAATGTCCAAGAAACTATTGAAACAAAAGTGTTCAACTTCATTAATCTTCAGGAAATTAAAACATTTTACTCTTGGGTCTTCTGACTGAAGTCTTGAGTGACAACCTCTGCATTGAGAAAGAGGTAGAATAATTAGAAATCTCAGAAATTGTTGCTGGAAAACAAATCAAACAGTTACTGTGTAGGATTGTTTAGGAGATTTTAAAGTAAAGTTATTCTACCCCTAGCCCTATAGTCCAGAAGTTTTATTCTAACATTATATCCACAAAAGCACCTGTACAGAATTGTTCCTAACACCTTTAAAGCCTGGAAATATTCCAGATGCCCCCCAGAAGGTGACTGGCATGTCCATGCAATACAGTTACTCAGTAAAAATGAATTCAAATTCACACAACACAGATAAATTAAGAACCTCACCACAAAATACTACCATATGCAAAACCATTCTGTGGTGATGGAAGGTCATATTTTTGCTAGGTTGAGAAGAAAAGTTTCTATAGAATTACCAGAGGGAAAGTCAGTAGGCACCGTGGAGACATTCTCTGTCTTGTTGTGGAAGTGGCCTCATGGATGTATATGAGGCCATCTCTCTCTCTTTGCCATTAAGGCCACACTCAGGCAATGCTTTTAAATGCACAGTGACAGCTAGTCCTGGAGAGGTTTTTATACTGAATTATAAAATTGACTTACGTAAACATTGTTTGCATACTTTAAATGAATGACACCTCACTCTTCTGCTGTGAAAATGTATAAAGGCGGACCAAGCTAGAACATTTGCTAATACATTATGAAAGAAAGAACTGTTAGGCAGCTTTCCAAAACTGCAGACCCATTTCTTTATGGATTCTGTTGAGCTCTCTGCATTCTGTAACTAGTTTCCCTGCAAAAACCCTCGGTGTGGGAGTAGATAATTTTAGTAGTATTTATATGTTGCGTATTCATCTCAGGTTTGTTTCTTCGAGCTCAATGAATTATTCAGTAGGAAATTTAGGAAGCAGTCCTCAATTCTTCATCACTTATCTCTCTATTTTGAAACTCATGTTATATACTATAACTGAACTCCCACTGTATTGTTCCCCTTGAAGCTCAGAACAGGTTTAATAACAATGTGTGGTCAGTGGTAGTAGTAATAGCCATGCAGCCAAGAGCCCCCTGCTACTATTCAATGACTAATCCGTGTGAAGCAGAGTTCTGTATGTATCATTTCGTCCATGTCTTGTTATCCCCATGAAATCAGTACCGTCACCGCTTCTACTTCACAACATGACCATATAACATATAAGTGATGGAGTAACAGCTCATTCCCAGGTGTCATATTTGAAAGAAAAAATTTCCTAAGAAAAGCAAGGTTTCATTATTGTATTTACTTTATTTTTTGCTGACAAAATACTTAAAGGTTATAGGTTCTTTTCTTTTAAAGAGTATCATATTTTCCTGTATGATACAGAATTTCACTTAACAAAATATTATGTATTTCACAGTATTTGTTGTAATACATAGTGTTATCTTCCAAACAGTTATTTGTATTACCAGATACATGAATGTAAAATTGGAAGAAGAAAGAAATGCATAAGAAATTAAGGAGAGAAAAAATACAAACAATTGAAAAAAGGAGACAAAACAAATTAAAGTATTATCTGCTCCTTTCTGTAGACCAGCAGAAATGCACAGTATAGTTGTCCAAACAATTCTGGTTACATACACAGATACATCTCTTTCCCCCAATCCCTCTCCTGTCCTTCTCCTCAACTCAGTAACTTTCTTTACTTTTGAATAAGTTTATTTTCTTTTCCCATTATCTGTTGTACCCTTCAGATTCCATTTTTCATTTTCAGGTTCTCACACTGAGAAGTGAGATGTTTGCACATGTGGGTCTGATTTATTTCACTTAAGAGTTACTTGTAGACTGGGCATGGTGGTGCGTGCCTGTAATCCTAGCTGTCAGGAGACTGTAAACAGGTGGATCATTATGAGTCCAGTCTAGTAGTGAGACCCTGAACACCCTGTAGGCCTTTCCCTAAAAAAAAAAAAAAAAAAAGTTACTTGCATCCATTTAACAACACAAGACTGAAACTTGTGCTGCTTTATAACTGAATAATACTTAATTGTGTAAAAATACCACATCTTCTTTATCCATTCTTCAGTTGAAGGGCATCTGGGTTATTTCCAGCAATTATTTTTTTAATAATGTTATTGAGAAGCAAATAACAATGAGACAGTTTCAAAACCGATCAGTAGGACATTTTCAATAATTACATTGAACATTATTGTTTCAGTGGTTATTCACGGTACAAGATGCAGACATGGCTTCCCATCCAAAAACCCTATTAGAACAAATCTTATTCATTGAATTAAGAGAATGTAGCTGTATATCAATCCTAACTATTTTGAATATCCAAATACAAATGGTCATTCATTTGTATCCCCCTTTTTTGATTAGTTTTGTCAGAGAAGGGTAGTCCATTGTCATTTAAATATTGTAGGTGTGGGAATTCAGCAAAATATTCAAATATAGTCCAATGCTCCATAATAGTAGTGGGTTATCCGTAAGACTGGCAATATCAGAAGTTGTTGACCTGAGCCCTTTACAGCCCAGCGTACCAACATGGCTTCACCCCTTATACCTTCACCCCTTTGTACCTTTCTACTGGATGATTAAGACCAAGATAAAGCAAGACCTATATAAAAATAAATGTAACTTTTGTATCTGATGAGGTCAGTCAAGTCCCCTCAAGATTTATCTTGAAACCCTGTACCACACTTTGTAGATCCTTTGTCAAGTTATCAGCCATGTAGATGATTCACGGGAATTGCTTGACCAATTGGCTCTCTGTGAAAGCTTGAGAGAATGTTTTCTCTCCATGTGACTCTCCTTAGACACACTCTACATCATCGATCACTTTCCTCTTGTGGCCCCATAATCTCCTTGATCAGAATATTTGGAACACAACTGAGATTACATGATGTTACAGTACAGGTTCTCCTATGTCCTCAGTCTTCACTGACCTCGAAAGACTAGGACCAGAATGTTGGCTATCCTTGCAGCCCTTCTTTTTCTCTAATTTTTTGTCTACAAACTTAGGTTGTTAACACTCCAGAA